TGTAAGAAAGTTATGAATGTTTATATTATGAAATCACTATATCTATGCAAATTTGAATTGGCAATTTGGTCAGTGGATTGTGACTTAGTTCTGGATAACTGTCCCGCTTGACAAGTTTAAAAAATGCAATTAATTCATGTTTTTCTCCTTCGCCTTTGGGGCACTACTCAAAATAGATTAAGGATAGCATAATATCATAGGTCCTCTTGAAAGAAAAGACCCATTCTGGGTTAGAGGTTTGAAAAATTGACGTGGTCGTCATTTTGTGTGTTGAAACAAGTGGGAAAATTGTCTGGTACTACATCACAGCGACATTACCGATTCAGCTAAATTCAAGTGGTCATATTTAATAATAGTGATTTGACTTCTAAATTTTTACAACTTTCGTTCAAACTTTAACCAGTCCGCTTCTCTGATTTTCTGCATTGTTTTAGAGTAGTTGTCCATGAACTGCTGACAGAGTAAAGTTTGGTACAGGCCTAGAGTTCAAATTTTTTTTTTTTTTTTTTTTTTGGGGGGGGGGGGGGGGGTACTTATCGAGTGGCAAGAGGGGATGAAAAATGTAGCTTCCTGCAAAAATGGTCCTATACGGTAGATACCTAACAGTGGGTTATACAAATATATGAAGTGTAATTTGCTGAAGTACACTTACGCTTAAAAACTGCAGCTTTTAAATGCGTCATTTATGAACATGTCTGAAACCTTAACCTTGTGAATACCCAGGGTTTTGGGTGTGATTTATATCACCTAACATTACACAGGTGTTGTTTTCGTTCATTGGTCCCTTTAGTATACATGTATGCATTGTAGCTTCATGCTGCAGTGAACCTCCATGGCAAATAACAAAATAATGATTCCTGTACCTTATAACACACAGGACTGGACCTTTGTTGCATACAGCTACATTTTCTTTTTCACACTTGCTTTTCATTTACTGGTAGACAATGTTTTTAAATGCCAAAGTTTACCAAGTCACATGAGAGCAGGCCTTTAAAGTGAACTGGTAACATTGTTGAAGGTTGATGGGGAGAAAATGATGAGTTTTTTGTATGAAATGTTTAATACTTACCTGTTTTATATTCCTTTTACTGTACTAACCCTCCAACATGCAAAATATCCTTTAGAAATTCTCAAACCACAAAGATATTTATTGTTTTTTTTTTGTGTGTGTGAACTATTCCAACTGTTTTTCCATGAAAATAGGGCATAAAATAGGCTTTTTTAATGTTTGAAATGGTATATAGAGCCAATTCATTGCTTTGTGACGATTTGCATTCACCTAAAATTTAATTAATTAAAATAATATAGTTGGGGGAATTTAGAAACGATCAGATCAGTTTTCCCAATTTTTAGCATTAATAATGATCTGTTTTCACTCAAAATTTCAAATTATCTTTAATTGTACATCTAGCATTGAAGTCACGACCTATAATAGCACCACTTTCTCTCATCTGAACAATGTTACCAAGTCCCTTCAAAGTAACTTAAAATAGTTATCATTGTACAAGAAGAGCTATAAGGAAGAAAAATGAAAGAAAAACTACCAAAGTAATACTTGCAACTGTTGATTGCATGGTAAGCAATGTACACGTACAACACATGAGGAAAGAATTCAAACTCTCTTGCATGAAATTTTTGATAATTCTTTAACCATTTATTCTCTGCTTTTATGTGGTGTGAGAAATATAGAACATACACAAAATTATTTTTACGGAGACTGGAAACTTCAAGTCATCAACAACAATTCAGGTCAATAACGGAAAAAAATAGCTGCCATTATCAAAATCATAGCAATAAATTTGATTTACAACGAGGTCTACATGAAGTAAAAGTACAGGTTTTCTTTCAGTTCACGTTCTATATAAATGATACATAATCTTTAATATATATGAAGACTATGTATAGACTGGGCATACAGAAGGTAGATATTACGAAATTGCAGTTCTCATTACTTGCAAATGATACCGATGTCAAAAAGGTACACTTTTGTGAGAAAAAAATGCATCGATTTCTTTACAATAACCACTTTAAAATCACTGCAATATAACGTTCCCAAGAGTTCATATCCTCATCAATATACAATATCAATAGTATCTTACATATAACCTCATTTTTTCTTTAGACTATCACTTGCAGATACAGGATAAAATGTCCATAGTTTGAAGCCAAAAGGGCATTCAGGTGTATCGTTTTACACAGAGTTAACACCCTTTTGGCTCTAAGCGGACAATAGTCGCTGCAACTGCAGAACAGACGGGTCAATTTTCATAATCCTACATCATACAATATTTACAAGTATTGATAATAGCACAATGAGAAGGTCACATTGAGAGATATGCAGCCAGCAAGGTTTTCAGACTTGCAGTAATGGGGTGCGCGACTATAATTTATCATCTAGAAAATACACATATTATCATGTAACACGATTGAAACAATGTTAAAGCGATACTGAACTGATAAACTTCCTGCCCTAGAATACTGTTTATTGCACAGCGCTATCTCATCGTCAACTTGCCATAAGCGCATTATAACCTAATTCCCACTTCGCAGACAGAGGACTCGATGCGAGAACCAACAGTGCAGCTAGGGAAGCAGCGAGTTACAGGACCATACTGCAACAGCTGACCCGAGATGGCCCTAGAGAAGATTTTTCAGTAGTGTTTCTAGTAAAGTATAGCTTTAAGAAGTCACACTGTGTAGGTTTGTAAGCTAGGTAACTCTAAATAAGCAATGATTACACTCAAATTTGAATTACGAGCACTTTCGTTTGCTTAGAAAAGGGGATGGTGCTCAAATGTATTAACAGCTCATTGGGAAAAATACAGTGAAGAAAAACATATACATGTACTCCCATTAATCATTCCAATCTCATCCCCCCCCCCAACCCACACCGCCAAACTACAAAAGATTCAGACTAACAAAGAACAAACTTGTTCTGGATCAACACTTAGTTTTAAGTAAGGTACGATATTACTCGAGTATCAAAAGGAAATTACAAAATCCAAGTAGAAATAAAAATTAAGGCAAATAAAATTACATACTATAATAATAAATGAATGGATAAATATGCGAATACAACTTGATACAATGTGCATGATGCAAGGAAAGTTGGTTGGTAAAAATAGAATGTGCATGGCTAAAAGAATCGTGTCAGAACCAAATACAATAGCAGAAACCGATGCGATGCCTTTACAATATTTGACCAATCAATACCGATACAAAAAGTTAAATCCACTGCCTTTTCTGTGTCTCAAACATTATGATTTGTGATAGATTTCTTTATGAGTTATCTGAACAAGGAGGACTTAAATCCCAAAACTACATGCCACATACTAATTAAAACTGTCAATTGTTTTATATTTATTAAAAAACTCTTCTAAATAGAGTGAAAATGTAAATATTGTCTGTTAATATCTTAACAGATGATTATTTTTTTTCTAAGCATGTAAAATATTCATAAATAAAGCAACTACCTGATATTTTTCTTTCCGAGTTCTGGTTACTACGGAAAATTCACAGATTCAAAACAAGATGAATGTCAAAATATAACAAACATATGATGCCTACTGAAACAAAGATGTTAGAAACCAGTACCAGAATAATAAGCACATAACTGTAATAAAAGTCGACTAGTCGTTCCCATACAGTGTAAAAGCAATTAACAGCCAGTTTTTACTGGCCATATTCAGCACTGGTGTAAAGTGAATTGTCCTCAAAGGTTACAACCTTTCAGATTTAAATATTGAATTTAAGTATCATGCACTTTTAGAAAAAGATTCTTCATATTAAAATATAAAAGGGAATACCAATTAACAGTGATTAGCTTTTCTATTCTTTTCCTTGACTTCTTTGTGATGATTAATTCGCTGATTGTGACAGTATTCATCCATCCTTTGATTCACTTGGACTGCTAATCATACAATGTTGTACTGGTTGATAATGGCATACCACATTCCTTTATTACGATTTAGTATATACCACTCTATATGCATGTATCAATAGAGTTAATAAGGATTCCTCTACCGTATATATAAAAAATGAACAAACAAGATATAAGTTGGGGGGAAAAGAAACTTGCCATGTACATAATTATGATTTTTTTTTTTCTGATAAAAGGCAAATGGAAAGGAATGGTGAAAATAAAAAAGTTTACAGATTCACAATTTTTTTTTAGAATCGTACGTTTCTGGACAAATACAAGAAATACTATAATTTTTAAAGGATAATTACCAGGATCCATATATGTGTAGACCTACTGGGAAATTATGAGCTGCTGACTAGCGGTGAACTATCATTGATAAACTAGCAGCCACACAACCAGGAGGTATTAAATATAGCTGCCATAACATAAATTATACACAATAAACCATCACCACATAAATATCTACTACCTATAGGAAATACCATGTATTGGACAAAACTGGGCCTCTACATGCCACAGGATTTTAGCCCGACTATATTTTGTGTTTAGTTTAAACTTTACTTGGGTGCATTTTCTATATCTAAGCTACAGCAATAGAATAATTACTTTCCATCCACCTACCGGTACCGGTAAATAAAACCTACTCTTTCCTCTGAGGATGAAATATAAAACGAAATGCAAGTAGCAAAGTGTTTTTAAGGCAATGGTTTGCAGAAACAGATTTTACACGTCATATAATTACAATACCAATCACGTTAACTTGTCTAATACAACTATGGCCATTTATTTATATTACTCTCATGATATGAGGATGATATACATGTATAAACAATATCAATAATTTGTTAATCACAACATAAATTACAGTGGGGTCTTGAATGAATCAGTTATTTTCTCAACGTTACTATTAACTTATTTCTTATCAATCTATTTATAATATACAAATGTCTTACCATAGGTTGTTGGGATCTGCTTTATATGTTTGATAACCTGATGCAAATTGGACACACAGACACTAGGTATGGGATCGACATTTTAATCATTACGCCAGTACCTCCAAACTGTCACTGCGAAGATCATGTTTGAACAGGAGTGATAGGGTCAAGGTTGTCAACTTTGAATTAGTCTGTCGATAGCTGCGTTGACGTCGCCCCCTGTGGCCGTCAGCGCTCGAATGTTGGCCTCGCGATCGACGAACCCCATCGTGGCTAGCAGCTGGAGCTGAGGCTCAAACCGATCCTCTGGAGACTGTACAAAACAGAAAGAACAGGCCTCAAAATTAATAATTTGTTTTGTTTCTGTATCTCTCTTTACCCTTTTTATATAAGTATTGTATGATGTGTTGAAATGTACAATGTTCCTCTTTTTAATTGAATGTATTTTCATGCTTTTAATTTGTACTAATTTTATTTATCTATCTATCTATCATCTAGTAAGTTAGTTAATTAGTTAGTTAGTTATTCATTGATGTATCTACAGTTTTCAAACAAGTATACCCCTCCAGTTCAAAGACTTCAATCACTGAGGGCTCTGTGTCAAAACAAAAATCAAACAGCAGATAGTATGATAAGGTAGATAAGATGTCAAGTCCTACCGGAGTAGAAGCTTGCTGTCCACCCATCCCAAAACCTCGCTGTCCGCCCATCCCCAAACCGTGCTGTCCACCTGTCCCCAGGGCTTGTAACATCTGGCTCATGATCGCATTAAACTGAGGCTCGGCAACCGGCGGTAGACCGGTCAGATTGGGAGGTGCACCGGGCGTGGTGGTGGTGGTCGTCCCTGCAGTTGTTGAGGGTACCGTGGTGGATGCGGTAGATGGGGCGGTGGTTGCTGTGCCCGTTGCGGGGGCTGTGGTAGAGCCCGTCGTTGTGGTTGAAGCAGGACCAGCCCCAGTCATGCTGCCATAGAAAGAAATGAAATGACTTTAACAAGTGAATAATGAGGTAGGAGAGCAAGGATTGAGAAGTACTCATATGGAGTATTGGATACAAAATGAAGCAGATCCATCAGACATGCATTCAAAAGTGAAATAAAACAAGGAATGTGTATAGACTGCAGGTCCAAAGGTGTGAATTCTTCCTTTAGCAATTTTTGAAATTCCATTTGATGCATACAAGAAGCAGACTCATAGGATTTATACATGTGCCCATCTTTCAAATAATAAGAAATTGACTCAGTCTTGCCAAAAGTCACATGCAGTGTACAAAGAAATATGTATATGGGACTACAAAAACATGTGGCATAAAAGTTTGCTCCAAACCACATGTCAACCACATCTTGTAGTAGTTTTGAATATGAGGGCAGTCCGTATCAGTGGATATTTCTTTCTTTAATATTCTTCAACAATAACATAATAATTGTAAAACAGTTCACAAAATTGGTCGCCTTTTTAAGAACCCAACCTATTATTTACATTGCAAATGAATAGACATCTATGGAGATGAGTGCACTTCAAACATCTCGTATCATTTGAAATTTGGATAGAAAGTATATGTAGAGGTGCTGTGGTAGAGTGGTTAAGTCGCCGGACTGTCGATCACAAGGTCCGTGGTTCGAGATCCGCCGTGGCACTAATGTCCTTTGGCAAGACATTGATCTGCATTTGCCACACTCAACCCAGGTGATGTAAATGGGTACCTGGCAGGAATTAATTCTTTGAAATACTAGAGCGCCGTAATGGTAGCAAAGCTAAAGCCGGGGTCATACCAAAAGACATTAAAAGATGGAAGTTGTTGCTACCTTGTTTGGCGTTCAACAATAAGGGATAGAGTAACGTCGATCTGGCGCTGCTCAGTGGCTGCCGGGCTCACGATCAATTGGGCAAAAAGAATTTCCGTTTCGGTTTAATAAAATTTAAAGTGGACTATTAGACTATTATTATTATTATTATAATCTCCAAAGTCTGGAAGCGCTAAGTGATTGTAATAAGCGATATATAAAAACTGAGTATTATTATTATTATTATCTCTTTACTATAACACGTACCCAGGTAGTAGCCCTGGTGCCTCTGTAGCTAGTTGTTGCATGCCTTGTTGTATCTGCATGATGGCTTGCATAGCCCTAGGGTTCGTCATAGCTTGCTGCACATCGGGATTCTGCATCTGTTTATAGAAATTAATAAATTGGAGAATACTTTAACTGTTTTTTTAATATGCATTGTTTTAGAAGACTTAGTCTAGGCTTAATTTGCAAGGTAAAATGATAAATAATACTGAAATTTACATATATACAATCAAGCAAAGAAATAAAAATGAATACAAAAAAAAATCAAATTAACATACATTTAAGTATGCATAAAAAGTTGTAATGATGGGTTCGACAAGTTTTATGAAAATTTAGTTTCATTACTAGAGAAGTAAATCCAGGTAATGTTTTGAACTTACTTGCTGAAGGAAGGATGGCATCATCGTAGTCATCTGTTCCTGAAGCTGTGGGTTACCAGCAAACAGTGGGTTATTCCTCATCACCTAAGAGAATTGGAAAATAGCAAAGAGATGGTTTGAATCTCTAATCTATTTGTCTGCTGGGTTGCTAGGTGAAGACATATTATCTCTGCAAGTCCCAACGTTGCCGGGTGGGACAGGTTGCCCAGAAACCAAAGTGCATTTTCCATGGAATACCGAAGCTGTGACATCATAAAAATCTATTTTAGAATTTCTTAATTTTTTTCTTCATTTTCCAAAAAAAGCATCAAAAATAATGTCCAAACGTCGAAAACCATCTGAATAAATATATTCCCTATTGGAACTCAGTGTTTTTTGCTCTGGCTCGTAATGGTTATGAACCAGAGCATATAACACTGAGTTCCTATAGGAAAATTATTTATTCAGATGGTTATATCTCAGCCAATACTTAACATATTCAATTGGTTTTTGACATTTGGACATTATTTTTGATGCTTTTTCGGAAAATGAAGAAAAAAATTGAGAAATTCTAAATATAGATTTTTTATGACGTCACACTTCACCACCCTATGGGGAGCTGCAAGTGGGAGTAAGATCTTGAGGGAGAAGTGGTCTTGGGACATTCTAAAGGCATCCTTTAAGGGCTTTGGGATCGACCCCGCATCATGGGAGAAACTGATTTGGAATCGCTCCGCCTTGCGTGGTGCTCTCGCTTCCCAAGGACACATCAACTTTAAAGCCCCACTGCACTACTTGCGCCTTCTATATAGCAAACCATGCCTAATCGGTACCTGTTGGTCCCCCATGATCCTCTTTTTCTTATGTTAATTGAGAGCTGATTTGATGCGATAACAACCTGTCAGTGACCTTGCATGGAGGTCTAATCCCCCTGGCCAAACTAGTACAGACAGGCGTTAAAGGACTTTTGGATTGACCCTGCATCATGGTAGAAACTTATGTGGAATCACTCTACCTTGCGTGGTGCTCTCTCTCCCCAAAGGCACATCGACATTTGAAAAGTGCAGAATTTGTGCGACAGAAACTTTGCTGGACTTTACTGTCAGACACTATTGAGTGACTGACTGACATCTTTTTTTCTTTGGTAATAACATACATAAAATGAGCTGTATCAGGTACATTGACATTTGTGTACACCAACAACCCACTACTTGTATGGCCAAAATTAAACTGATTGAATGTTTGTGCAGCATAAAACGTACGACCATTCGGTACAAGGATCTGAAAATCAGACTATTACTTAAATCGATTCAACAACTAATGGTCATTATTTTCCCCAAAACAGACATTTTCAAGCCCTTTCTTTATTAGGGAAGATCTAAATAATTATTGTCTTTCAAATGCCGTTGGAATTTAACCTTTTAATTTTTGGGGCCTGCAAGTGGGACATAGTACCTTTAATCTCTAAACCTTAAAATAATTTACCTGGGCTGCCATATCTGGGTTATCTGCCATATTTCTCATCATAGACTGCATGTAGGGAGCCTGCATCATGTTCTGCATCAGGCTAGGGTTGCTCTGGATCTGCTGCATCAGACTCTGCAGACCAGGACTGTTGTAAATGTTAGCACCTGTAAGAAATCACACAAGATATATGGTATAGTACTAGGCCTATTCGTTTTTACAAAACTGCTCCTGTACCTTATCTGATGACAAGATAATGTATATGTGCACCCGCCTATTCAGTAAACTCAAGCAGTAAAATCGTCTTAAAACTCTACCAAAAAAGAGAATATATGAGGATATAAAAAAAAATCAGCGACTGGAAAGTGTTGCTCCGTTATTCTTTATTCAAATGAAAACAGAAAGTCCATCACATATACTCATTAAAGATAAACTTGAGTTCTGGTAATGCGATTGCATTGTGAAAGAAAAGGTGTGGAATGGATCAGAAAAGTTGATCATATAGCATGTAAGTAATGGTGTGTAATGCAAGGTTCTGGAGTCATCAAAATCATCATAAATTTGGCAGAGTCTTGGTAAAGTAACAATCACTTACACAGAAAGATGTATATGCAGAGCTGCCAACATTTGATTTGGGTAATCAGGGAGATTTCTGAGAGAGCAGCATCGAACGACTTCATTGTTGGCGGGAACCAAGAATGGCCTTTTAGTGCCCCTGGTGGGGGGGGGGGGGCAGGGGGCAGGCCCCCAAAAGCTCTTGGTTTTAAGCCTCTTTGAAACCCTTTTAGAACACATTTTTTCAATGATTTCTCAAAATGGAAGGCTTTGATATGGCACATTTTATTTGCATACAATTGATAACATATGAACTTCACATCATATTTCAGACTATGAACTCCTGTTACCTCTATTGTGAAATGGGGGATGTACTTGTGGAAGGCAAGGACTGGGGTGTGCTTGAGGGTTTTCCTTGAAGTGACTGGTAGGTTGCTTGCTTGAGTTTGCTAAGGAGGTCCTTGCTATACTCCCTTTGGTAGCATGGGACATCTGTGTTGGCAATTTTCTCTGTTAGGAGTGCTTGAAGTGTTTTCAAATTCATTGATCCCCTGAAATCAGTTTTGTTCTTCCTAACAATGCTAAAAACTCTTTCACATGAAGCATTGGAATGTGGTATCACAAGCAAAGATTTCATCACTTTGCTCAGAAGTGTGTATTTCTTTGAGCCATTGCCATCCTCCATCTTTGAAATTGCAGACCATTTCTTGTCTATTCTCAAGTTTTTGTTCAGGATCTCTGGTTCCCCTGAAAAGCTTGTGTTTGTCATATGTGATGTGGCGAAATACATCATTTCTTCCCCCACTCTTGATGGAGATATCTGCGCCGCAAACTGTACAAAATGCGTAGTATTCGCCTTTCGTAGATTTCCCAACACAAGGCCATTCCAAGTGGTAGTCATCTTTATATTTCTGATAATATTTCGACTTCGACATTGTCCTGGATGATATTTTAATACTCAAACAGAGAGCAAAATACAGCCTTGTTTTGGACAAAGTTGACTTACGCCTTCGGAAGATGCAAGTTATATCGATGCGTTCCCAACGGCAAAGGAGATCAGAAAAAAAAAGTCGGCTTCAAAATCCACTCTGCAGTAACACTGCCATGTTGGTATCAAATGATAATCCACTTAAAAATCACATCGCAAAAGTCCCCAAATCAATCCAAAAACTGATGTTGAAATGTGCAGTTTTTTGGGCCGATCGCAGCAGACAAAGTCTGCTTGTTGTATCAGTGCAACTTCTGGCTGCTCTGACGCGACCGATCGGAAACCGGCACCAACGTACCGGGACGCTACGGGGGCCGGCGAGGAAGCCGCCCGGCAGAGCAAGCAGGCGAATTGCTATCACACAAACACCACTCACATTATCACATGTTCCCAATGGTTTGTTAGATTAGCCCGCCAGTCGTTCGGCGTAACTCTCATTTATTACGCTGTTAAATAAAGTACGATATCACGGTAAATTTATATTCGACGACTGGATAACAGGAAAATTCATATTACAGAATTGCCGTGTGTTTGTATACGTACGTACGAACTCAACATGCTAGTCTTGTGAAACAGTCGTTTATGAAAATAATACAACTTAAAATCTGGAAATCCGGGAGATTTTTGCATGGGGTCGGGAAAACGGGATATTGGGTCAAAATCCGGGAGTCTCCCGCAGGATCCGGGAGACTTGGCAGCTCTGTATATGGGACAACACACATAGTGTCGGGGCTAGTACTACCCTGATTTCCTTATCTTTCTATGCTCATTACTCAGCCAGTATACATTTTCTTCCAAAATTGTTTGGCACATGACATTTATTTGTAATCTTGAACATTCATTGTAAGTTTCGTTAGATTCTGTGAGAATTCATTTTCTTTTTTTACCAGAACTCAAGTTTATCTTTAACAACAAAAAAGGTAAGCTCTGACAGGATAGCATTTACGTAGGCATATCACTGCCATTCACTCTCACTAAGCCAATGATCACCGTTTGAGACGTCACGAATAGTGGCCTGACTCTACGAGCAATTACGTGTTTCAGACTTCAAGATTTTGGTGGAATTTACTTGCATAAATTTACCATTCTGAACTTGTTTTGTCGGTTAGACACCATTTAGTGTTATTCTGGGGATTAAAAAATTTCTATTGATGTAATTATCTCAATATTTGGGATTGTCTTAGAATGTTAGCTTCAAGTCCAACTTAGAGATAAGTTCAACTTAGGATCTTTGTGAATCACTTAAACGACCTCGAAACAATGCTGCAAGAACTGGACGATGCAAGCCAACTAACAGGCCTCAAAATGAACATGAACAAGACTAAAGTCATGGCAGGATCAGCCAAAGACCCAAAACAAATCCAAGTGAACGGTACCAAAATGGAGCAAGTAGAGGAGTATATCTACTTAGGGCAACGTTTCTCCCTCCAAGACAAAAATCAAGACAAAAATCAAGACAACGAAATAAGAAGAAGAATCAAAGCTGGATGGCGAGCCTTTGGCAGATACAGCACCATCATGAAAGGCAAACTTCCATTATGCCTGAAAAAGAAAGTATATAACCAGTGCATCATCCCAGCAATCTCATACGCTGCAGAAACATGGACGCTAACTTCAAAAATGGAAAGAAAGCTAGCAGCCTCGCAACACAACATGGAAAGAAGTATTCTAAGCATCACATACAAAGACAGAAAAACGAACAAATGGATCAGGGAACAGACAAAAGTCCAGGACATCCTTGAAACAGTGAAAAGAAGGAGATGGAATTGGGCGGGCCACATCAGCCGTAGTAATGACAATCGCTGGAGCTCAGCAATCACTCACTGGACACCATATGAGGGAAAACGAAACAGGGGACGTCAAAGAAAAAGATGGCGAGACGAGCTGCAACAGTTCTGGGGCAGACAAATTGGCACCAACAGGCGCTGAACAGAAGCATTTGGAAACATCATGCTGAGGCCTTCATCCTGCAGTGGATTGACAATGGCTGATAAAGTAAAGTAAAAGTAAGAATCACCCCCCTGGGAGGCTATGTTGAAACTCACCTGGTTGAATGCCAGAGAGACCAGGCAACGTGGTACTGGATGTACTGCTGGTTGAAGTAGTGTTTGAAGTGGTGGTCGACGCTGAGGTCCTTTGTGAAGCAGGAGGAGCCCAGGGGTTGGGCAGGGGATCCGTGTTCTCCACACCCTGTTGGCTTGATGAGTTAGCTAAAGTAAAATAAGCACAGGGAAGGATTTGTATTGTAAAAGATGAAACCTGCATAAAATAAAACATATGCAGGCAGTAAGAGGAAATCAATAACAATATTCCAAGGTGCATGGGAAACTCAAGCTTGGTTTATTTGTTTTCCCAATTCCCTTTTTCCATCTCTCCATTTATTCATTTACCTATTTTCATTTATATATCCACGTTTTATTTTTAAATTTGTATTTCTCATTTAATTTATTTTGTTCTTAAATTTTTTCATTTATTTACTTTATTCATTTTCTAATTCATTTATTTATTCATTTATTTACTTGTTTATTATTATTATTATCAGTATTTATTTTGTGTGCGCAGAGGGCTTCAAACAATTGCAGCTACACTCTTATATACCCTAGGGCTTACAGTTAATCCAAACAAAATAATATTTGTATAAGATAACCTTACTGTTTGCCAGAGCTGCAAAGGGGTTTCCTCCTAGTTGTTCTTGGGCAGCATTCAGCATGGGTTCTTGAATGTCGGTATACAACCTCCGTAGCGCATTATAACCACCTGGTATACTCTGCAGGGGAAACAAGCAAAGTGAGAATGTTGTGAGATTTACAAACAATACAAGATATATCACCTTTTGTCAAGCCAGTGGTTCTTTAATTTTTTTTCTCTTATCCTCGAGCGTGGTTTTTATTTCCATATTTCAATACATATTTATATTAATTACTCAATGATTGAGTGAAACATAACAGTGAAACATAAAATTGAAGTATATTCAGTAATTCTTCCAGCTTAGTATATTTTTCTTTGCTAACACATTCATACCTTAAAAATAATGTCAGCAACGATTTGAATTTACGTGACATTGATAAATTGCATATTGCGCATAGTTTAAAATAATGTTCAGGAGAGAATATTTCTTGTTTCCAATGCCCTTACCTACAGTGGTTCTTTACCTATTTTGCACAATGACCCCGTCTGAGATTACCCCATGTTACAAATATATACTGCTTAGAGAGGGAAGGTTGGAACTATGGTCCCCAAGTCAACGTGGCTACGACTACTATCCATGACTGGCGCAGCCCTGATAGAAAATAGTCCTCTCCACGTAACCAAGTTTAACCAGAAACTCCAATATAGGCAGAATACATTTGGTTTATATCTGTCATCTTCAAAAAACCTTTTACTGCTGATATACTGATGGTCATCTGCACAGTACGGTAACTGCACACACAAACGATTTTGAAGTGATGAATTTGCGCCAATATCAAAGTCAAACCATTAATAATGACATCGTCATACACCAATGCGAAAGACAGTAGATATGTGCTAATTTGCAATGTATTAATATAGTATGCACATTGTGCGTGTGATTTCATGCGCCATGAACAGTACCTATGAATCTAGTACTACTGTACACATATCGTGCAGGGCGCGACAAACCCGCTTGCCCGACGTCCCGGGGCAACCAAATTGAGCCGTCGGGCAAGTAAATCAAATTATCACTTGCCCGATTCGGGCAAGTGATACTTTTACAGTAATTTCCTAGTGTCCAAGAACTCTACCATTCACCCGTCAACTTCTTACCCGTCGTCAAAATCCAGAAGCAAAAAAGCGATCGTTCCGATTTCGAAAAAACTTCACAGACAGCTAGCCAGCTCAGCTAGCTCAGCGCGCATGCAACAGTGACACTTCAAGCCATGAATGCCGCTCCGCCTCCACGCACGGCCGGCCGTGAGCTAGCTAGAGACAGCTAGCGCGATCGTACCAGCTGCGAGCTTATTCGCGCTCTCTCTCTCTAGCTCTGCAGGCCGCACCGACAGGCCTTTGCTATTCTCTGATTGCCGATTGGTTGAATCACGCCAAATATGACGTCATTATTCTAGGGAAATGAACACGTGCGAATCGGAATGGAATAAACAACAGGGATTTTCTAGTAAGTACAAAAAGTCAAATGTTTGATATTTATTCATAATGACTGTTAATGATTGTGAACATATTATTTAAAACTCGCTGCTCATATAAATCAGATGAATGTTTTTGTCTCGTTTTCAATTTATTACTGCGGTCTCAAGATCCGACCGAGCGAGTCATTTTGATAATAGTATCGAGACCCCCAGAATATAAGCCGTTGTTGTTTTGTTTTCATGGTTTTAGCGACGTTGTTTAGTCTAGTTTTCGCATACTTATCCGAGATTTATCGTAAAATATCTTCAATATTATTATTTAGTAAGAATTTACAAATTTTGGCATGATATTTATAGCAGTGAATGATGAAATAAAAATGTCCGTACTTTATTTAAAATAGTTGATTACCCATTATTTACATGACGTTTCTTGATGGAAGAGTTGACCCAAATTATTAACAGCTGAAAATTAGCCTACGTTTCCAAATGACAGCGGCTTGCACAGACACACATGTGATGTTGCACCATGGTACATGTGGCTACCATTAATGACATGTTTGTATCATATTTTTTACAACAGGGTCATTATGCTTTTTTACATGACTGAATATTAAAAACTTAAACCTGCTTGAACCATTCTACCTTGCCGAGATTCATGTGAATCTGATTATTTATGGAGAATCAATAAAATGCGTTTTTTAAACCTTCAACCATCCTTTGTTGACCATTTTCTTTGACATATTAGGTTATTATTCAGTACAGTTACACTGTACATGTATGTGCATTAATTTGCTATCTAAAACACTAACTTATCATTACGAGATAATAAATGCTTTAACCTCGAGTCCTTTTTCGCTTTAAAGTTTTGGGCAAGTGGAAATATTGTTTGGGCAAGTAAATTGAAAACCCACTTGCCCGACAGGGCAAGTGGTGAAAAAAATTCTTGTAGCACCCTGTCGTGACATCAGATGTTACAGCTGATGAAAATTCATTTACATGAGACCATTGTTAAAATGCATTTCATCACAATCACAACATGCAAAGATCCAATTAATTTGTTTTTTCATGACGGATACAATACCCTGCTGTTACCCACTGCTGTTACCCACGAAATGCAACTCTTTGTCAGTGCTGTTACCTCCTATACTGCCAATGTACATACATTCAGATCATAAATATCTCATTTCAGACTCATTTATAACCCCCTAAAACCCCAAATTAGCCCCAGGAGAATCAAGACCCCTGGGGGGTGTTTCACAAAGATCCTAAGTAGAACTTAACACTAAGTTGGACTTAAAAATTATGGACAGCCATTGGAGCCTTAAAATGAAATATATTCAAAAGCAGAAATTCAAGTATTTCAGACTTTTTTATAAATTCCACATCAAGAACATGAAACTCCTTGATGATAGAAAATATGAATGATTTGAATCAACATTTTATGCCTTTCAAAATAACTTTTACAAAATATTTTCAAAGATGCTAACGGCTTTCCATAATTATTAAGTCCAACTTAGAGATAAGTTCAACTTAGAATCTTTGTGAAACACCCCACCCCCTGGTTCTATTAGAGTGCTAAATAAATGGTTAGCACTTTGTCAAATCTCACAATTATGAACCCATTGCACCATTTCCACTCCTGTATTCTGTTCTGTTAATCACATAGAGACATGCAATAATGCCTATGTGCTATGCGCTTTACAAAAACGTTTAATTATTATTATTAGGTGAGGGGTTGTTATTCTAGGATGGATTTGAACCCTAGATCCCTAGGGAGTGTTTCACAAAGACTAAGATAGACTTTAAGTTGGACTCAACTATGGCAGACCGTTCATGCGACCGTTTGCTCTTGCAGTTTACTGGAATTGGTCTCTGAAGGGACATATAAATTTTGTTCACAAATCTACAGAATTTACATTTTTTTCGATACCGGTAGTTCATTATTGAAGGAAAAAATACTATCTAAAGATCATAATTGAGAGACCAATAGTGAGAGCAACCAGTGGCATGAATGGCATGTCATAGTTAAGTCCAACTTAAATTTGATCTTAGTTTTTGTGAAACACACCCCTGAGCATACTACTGTTAATACACTAACATTATTGAAAGGTAACAGAGACATGCAATTATGCCTATGTGTTATGCGCATACCAAAAACGTTTCATTATTATTATCTGGTGAGGGGGTTGTTATTATGGGATGGATTCGAACCCATGATCCCTGGTTTGAACGGCAGACACTTCACCGACTACACTATTCCAACTCATGGTCAGACTCCAGGATATGTGTTATCTTTAATTGAGTGGTGTCATCTTTGCCCTGGACTTTGCTCATCTGGCCTTACTCTCCAGATGCCCATTACTCATCTCAAGGGATATGGAGACCGGGCATTTTCCTCCATTGCTCCTCGTCTGTGGAATCCCTCCCACCATTTATTTGTGAAATTGACAACCTGGACCACCTCAAAGCTTCACTCAAAACTCACATCTTCCTTCAGGCATTTAAATGCTAACTTTATTGGAGGAGCTTGTGCCTTTGAATGTTTTTCAAACAGATATATGGCGCCATACAAATGCTGTGAAATATTATCATCATCATCAGCATCATCTTGTGCTCACCTCTAGATTGCTAAGTGCTCTGTCTTGAGTTCTCATCATCTCCTGCATCATAGCCGGATTACGAGCAAGCTCCATGGTCTGACGGAGCACCTCAGGGTTGTTCAGCATGTGCGATACCTCAGGATTCCTCTGTGGGAGGGAGAATCAAGACTGACATTGTGAGATAGGTTTCGATAGTCGAAGTTTGAAGTTTATTATCAAACAAAAAGTACATCAAAATAACAATCAAATGTGAATGTTTAACATGGAAAGGATAATTGGGACCAGAAAATAGCATTAAATGCCAATCGTGTCTGGTACCACTATCACAGAGTATCACAACAACTCTCATCATAGAAGCTGTAATAAATAAATATGAAAATGTAATGAATAAATACTAAAACTATTGAATACATACTAAAAACTAAAAGCTAAAAACTATTCTACATCCAGGCTAAATTTTGTTCTATCATTAAATACAAAGCTTTGGTATTTTACACTAAATAAAAAGATAAAGAATTACATAACATAATAGTAATAATATTTACAAAGAGTATGAGAGTTATCATGTCATTGTAATTTTTCAGGAAAGATTAATTGGCAGCCTGTCACAGGACTGATATCATAAATCTTTTTCCTGAAAAATGAAGTTCTCCTATCCCATGAATAATTTGCCTAAAATGACAATATTTACAGATACCAGAACAAATGCAAAATAATTTTGTTAAAAATACTCTCATCATAGAAGCTATGCCAACTTGTGTTAATACCTCCATGATTTGTTGCATCTGAGGGTTGCCAAGCACAAGGTTCCTGAATATATCCGGGTTCTGCATCATGTTCTGTACCATGGGATTATCTAAGACCTGTCTCATCATGTCTGGGTTACTCATCAACTAGAAGATAGAAAGAAACAAGAGCAATGTTCAAAGGTGATGTTCTAGCTTGGATTAAAGGGGGGGGGGGGTGTTTCACAAAGGCTAAGATCAAATTTAAGTTGGACTTAACTATGGCAGGCCATTTACGCCACTGGTTGCTATCACTATTGGCCTCTCAATTATGATTTTTATATAACATTTTTTCCTTCAAAAATGAATTATCAAAAAACATAAATTCTGTAGATGTATGACCACGAGAATTGTATGTCACTTGAGAGACCAGTGCCAGTAAATGGTAAGAGCAAACAACAGCATGAATGGACTGCTATAGTTAAGTCCAACTTAAAGTCGATCTTAGTCTTTGTGAAACACTCCCCAGAACAGAAGGAGAAGAAGCCATGATTCCTTTTCTCATGCATATGATCTGTATTGAAATGATTATTGATAGGGCTATGCACACACAGAGCGAAGCAAGACTTTGAAAAATTGACAGAACCTCAATTTATGTGTGCATGTGTGTGTTTATCTCACCTATAATAGAGTATCAACAAAATGTCACTCATAAGTGTGATTTGGCCGATGACTTTTGTTTGTGGGGGGGGGGGATCCTAAATAATATGCCATACGCTCCGTTTTACAAAAAATGTTGGTGAAAGTGGGATTAGAAAATCATAGTCTGACATGTAAGTACAATTTGAATCACAGTTCAGTTTTTATTTTCTTCTGTGTGAATGTCCATGTGTTGTTCTCTCTCTCTCTCTCTCTCTCTCTCTCTCTCTCTCTCTGTCTCTCTCTCTCTCTCTCTCTTTCTCTCTCTCTCTCTGAGATGGTCAGTGTGGCATATATACTACACACAATACAGTACATATGTACTACTACAACTCAGCCCTCCATGAAACCTTTTGGTTGGTCCCAAGGACCTTGAAATAAGTTAAAGCTTACATGTATCCTGCTACTAACCTGGTCAGTCTATAAACTGATATCTCTGCCCCATAATACTGTACAGATAGACTTTTTCTTCTTTACTCCATCCACACATCCCTGAATCTGCTATTTGATCCACTAAACGTAACAACTTTTATTCGATTTCTCAGGATTGTACTTGTATGTGTTTTTAAGTTATTATATATATCCATGAATTGCATCTTTCAGCGTGAATCCAGTATAATAATCAACATATGAAGTTTGGAATAAACAATTATTGCTTGTTTTGTGAAATATGATTTCTAAATACTAAAAAGAATGTTCAAGCATGTTTATTAAGATGAGAGGTTTAGCACAATGTCCCAGCCTAGCTACATGTATAATGCTACAACATCATTTAAACTGTAAACTGGTAACTTAATACTCCACTACATGCTGAAGCCTCTGCTTACCTGTCTTTGCATCTGTTGCTGCATCTCGGCAAAGTTAGCTGAATCCAGTCCCATGCTACCGAGTCCCCCTAGGCCCCCCATCCCACCTAACCCACCCAGCCCCCCAAGGAACGGGTTCCCACCGGGAGCAGCTGTGGTCGGGTTCGCCGATGGGGCGGTGGTCGATGACGAGGATCCTGGGTTGGCGGGTGAAGCAGGACTGCTGGTGGTGGCTGTGCTTGTACCTGCTTGATCCTGGAGAGTGTGTGGGAGTATGGAAAGAGGGGGGTTAAGGAGAAAATCCCAGTTAGAATCATGAACAGATATTTTTTGTAGTTTTTCAGTCTCATCAGCGCCTTTGATTAGGCAACTAGTCATGGCTCTTCATAAATACCTGGATTGGATTGGATTGGATACTTTCATTCATGTGTCAAACTACATCTAACATATAAAACACATATTTTTATGAAATGTCTTGGAGTTAGGCCCAAGTCAATTTAGTTCATAAACCAGGTCCCTACTGTACAACAATCAGAGCCTGGATCCACTTACTCTCATTAATCACACCAATTTCTACCTGTGGCAACAATGTTACAGATTTTGCATTGATTCTGTACATACATGTACATGTATCTAAAACATGGCTTGTAACATAGATTAGGAAGACGATAAGAATAGCTGTAGGATGAACTTTCCCCATGTGTTGCATCTAAGATTCGACCCCTTTTTTTTTACATACATGAGCCAATACATGTAGGTACTGTATGTAGACAGCTAATGGAAAATCACTACTGTTTTCCCATACATAGACATTTTTAGGGCATTGCAGCCTCACCAGTTTGCAACAATTGTGCCCCAATTTTAAGAGAAAACCATTAGGATTCATTACAGTACAGAACTGCAAAATGTATAGTTGTTCATACAAACTTTTTGGTATGCCAGTGATCTCAAGAATAATTATATACAGACCAAAAAGCTTGGCTACATGTAGCTTCTTTTTACTCACCAAATTTAATACATATCATTCATTTATATCCGACAGACGAAAAGTTTTTAATATTTATAGTACCATCAAGCAGTACGGCACTAGGGGTACATATTGAAGCTCATCTGTACACTCAGTTTATACAGATACATGTACATGTACCTGTTGGCTAAACAATGTTAACGAATGGCAAGAATTACAGTTTCCACAACATAAACCATGAGTTGTAGTTTACATAGCATTGTTGAGATCCCCTATGATACAATCAATTAACATCCAAATATTGGTGATATAAATCTGAAATTTGTTATGTAAATATCTAAACTACATGGTAAAGCAATATCAATGTAATAATTCTACCTTATATTCATCTAAATCTGAATTATGTCAAACATTAATTTTGGTTTACCTTTTTCGACCTGATGACCAGATGCACAACCATGTTATCTTTGATATCTGGGATTAAATGAGAATTAAATACAATTTCAAATGTATCAATTATTAAAGACTAAATACAAGCCATCCAAAATCAGTACAAATGACACAATACAGTGCTATCTTTATAAAGGATTAATACAAGAAAAGTGATGCAAATAACCTAGATCTCACACAAAATAATCAAGGAAAGACATCTTCACCAGACTTCAACCCTATCATTAAGTGTACAGAAAAAGCTTGTCTACACAAATGCTTGCGAGCAGATACAAAACGTTTTACACTATATTTACCCATATCATCACAATTTTTAGTGCAAATACAGATGTCTACCATATTATTCTATCCAGTTTATGGCCTTACAAGAGCTTGAATAAGACCCAAAGATACAGAAAACGTCATCTGCAATGTTTATGTCTATTTTCCTTCATTCATGTAACGCATGAGACAGAAAAGATCATATAACCTGGGCTTGCCTACATATACACCCTAAACTTACAAACTCAAATGCAACTTATTCCAGAATGAAAAGAATGAAAGATGCTTTCTACTTTCTATTTTTTTTAAAAGGCTTCTGTGGAGTACCGTATTTGCCGGCAATAAGGCCGCACCGCCGCATAGGATGCACCCCAACTTTGACATTTCAAAGAGGAAAAAAAAAAAATTAAAAAAAAAATTTAAATAAAAAAGGAAAAAAAAACCAACGGACAAAACAAAATAATCGTAATTTTCTTGTAAAACACTATTTTTTTTTTACAAACTAATACCAAATTCATCAATATTCTTATAATTTACCCGAAGTTTAGCTCAAAAAGTGATCGCGGGCAGATTTGGTGTCCGATATATACCCCTACCACAATGTACGGTGTAATGCGAAACTGCATGAAATGGAAAACAAATGGCGACTTTGGATGGATGCTTCGCGGCAGGTCCGTTAAATGGTCCCTTCCTTTACTTTTGCAATGCATTGGCACAAACTTAGATCAAGATCTATTGGCAAATGTTGGTTTAGCAATTTATTTTCGTATTCATGTCAACAATGCAAGATAAAATTGTGGGTAAGATGTGTTGAAATGTCCTGTACCATAGTGGTATAGTTATTGTACCGTTCGTAGTCCCATATGAGCAAATTCGTGCTGGTTTTGACTTGATTGATTTTTTTTTTTATACTCTTTTGCCGTAAAGGCCGCACCCCGACTTTTTGATATTTTCTCTTCCAAAAATACTGCGGTCTTTACGCCGGCAAATACGGTACATACTATTTGGAATCTTGGAAATCTTGAAACACATTGAAAGTCAGAATACTTACTGTTTTGCTTTAGGGTATCATTATCTTTGAGAATCTTCCCCGCAAAGATGAGGCATAATTGCTCAACTGTGGTACTGAACTTCTTGGAGATTTCATCTTTAAGCTGAAAACAAAAGAGAAGGATATACAAATAAGCAACAGTACAATAAGGTGCAATGATTGTTTTATAAAAATGACCTCAACGATTTGAAATTGATTCTGATTATTTTAATCATTGCATTGATTGACACTGACTTCAGGTTTCCTGACAGTTTAAAACAGCTTTTTGAATAAGTTTACAAGCACCGTTTCATAAATCTTATAAGAGTTACAGTATGTTGGACAATATCATGCTGGTTATTGCTATAATTTGATAAATATTTTTCTGTTCAAATCCACAGACTAAAGAGAAGTCTTTCATGTTGTTTATATTTTAAAGACAATTAAGTGTCCAGAGACAAGACCATGAGACACCCCCCCCCCCTCCCAATCACATCTTTCTTTCTTATAATTCACACTTTAATTTGCTATAAATTGAGATTTGGTAATTTTACAGATTCTGGCCAGATTATTGAAAACTTCCAGAACATTCTAAATAAGATTAAAAAGGATACTAACAATGATAACAAATACCTTCTTGATGCAGAATAACTAGTCCAAGGTCAACATTGAAGCTCATTTGGTCGAATTTTAGGTGTTTTTTCAGGACAATACCTTCCTTTTTCTAATCTTGGCTTATTTTATTTTTTTCAGGGGGGGGGGGGGGAGTGAAGCGCCGTTTTAGCATGACTTTCTTTCTGACTCTTACTTTTACCTATCTCAGATAACCCTAAGTTTTTGGTTGCTGCTTTATATGTAGTTGATAATGCATGATTAAAATAAAGAGAGAGAGAGAGAGAGAGAGAGAGAGAACCACCATCATTTTGCAATGGTTCAGGGTTTGTGTAATGTACATTTGAAACCATTTCTTAGCGTCTCAACCCTAAAAAAAATAGCAAAACTATTTTTGAGGAAAAGCATTATAATGAACTGAATAAAGAATAATAGCTTTATAATTGGATCATACTAATACTGGTACGGGCTAAAGACAATGTGGTATTTGTATAGAGGTATTCCAAAATGACATTCTGATAATCAACATTTGTTCTGGTATCATATGTATATACGCATAATACAACTGATCTTTATGATTTCTTAACGTGACATAGCTTCTATTCCACCTGCAAACAAAAAAGAAAACAAGGTTATTTAATAAAAGGATCATGCGACAAATAATCATTGTGATTCAAATTGATGCAAGGATTTTTTTGAATAAGCAATGCTTTTCACCAGAATCTTCTTTGTAAAAACGACTTTTACAAATCACAGCCATGCAAATCTGCCACTGTGTTGTAAGATCACTTTCAGATTAGGAGAAGTGTATTCTTTAATGAGTATTTTACATTGAAAGGAACGTCTCAACTCAGTAAGCATGGCTGCGATTTGTAAAAGTTGTTTTTAAAAAGAAGATTTGGGTGAATAGCAGTGCTTATTCAAACAAATATTCGCATCAAATTGAATCACAATCATTATTTGTCACTTAATCCCTTTTAATGACCTTGTTTTCTTCCTCGTTTGCAAGGGGAGAAGAAGATATGTCACGTTGAAGACATCATAAAGATCAGTGTTGTATGCGTATATATTATATGCACAGGCCCCGCGGAACGTTTATCAAAGTGGGGGGCTAAAGTATTTACGATCAGGTAGAGGGTAGCGAGCGTAAATTGGTGTGGGGGGGGGGGGGGGATTCAGGGGTTTTAGGCATTTAATTACGGTCAGAAAAGCACAAATATTTTCATGCCGCATTTGTGTCACTGGCAGGTCAGGAGGGCGTTTTTATTTTATTTCTTAAGGTAAAATTTACGTTACTATCCTATTTTTTTTTTACCGGTTTGGGAGGCTAGGGGGGGGCCGGTAGAATCGGCCCGTGGATCCGCGCCTGTCCAAAATAGCACACACACAAAATCGCCTCGCCGCTATGCGGCTCAGTAAAGAAAGAATGTAAAGGTTGCTCCGAATAATGAGGAGGAAATAATGTGCAGAACGGGAAAAAATCGAGATAATGTCATCAGGGGATGAAAGTGAGTAACAGCTATGTAGCTTGTAAATTTGTAAGAGGGAAAACGCTGATTAAAATGATAATAACGAAATAGCAAACAATTCAGGAGTATCATAGGTACCAATTCAATGGATATTTGTATAAAAAAGAGCCCCCGTCAGTACTAAAAGAGCCCCCGTGAGAAGGCTCACGGGGGCTCTTTTTTTTTGGGGGGGGGGGGGGAGGATCCCCCGTGGACAAAAAATTAATTTGAGCATTGGTTATAACAGAAAAGATAATCTTTATTTTACAATTCCACGGGGCTGATTTTTAATTTTGCAATCGCCCCCGTGAGCAACCTGACGGGGGCGATTATGTAGCTCACGGGGGCGAATCGCCCACCGCCCCCGTGTATTTTGAGCGCTGTGTGTAATGGTGTGCATTGATGGCTACTGTGTTGTTTTGGATCTTGTACATGAGGTGGATACCGTAATATCGTGATACCTCCACTTCTCAGCCGCTGTACGTATGTACACACGATTAAATGAAGGATTGTCCTGAAAAAACGCCTAAAATTTTGACCAAATGAGCTTCAATGTTGACCTTGGACTAATTATTCTGCATCAAGAAGTTATTTTGATCATGTTTACTAGAGTCTATACTTTTTTACCTTTTTTAGTCATTTCATTTTAGTCTTTCTTTACTTTGAAATAAAATGTTCTGGATTTTTTTTACTAATCTGGCCAGAATCTGTACTAGGCACATTCATGGGGCACTAGAGGGCGCTTCGGTCGCGTACGAAAATCTGAATGGCCTTGCTGCGGTGGGTCGGCAATAATCAGCCCAAAACTTGGATATGGGAGGTTGGAAGGATATATCTTTTTTATAGTGTTATCCGGTCTTACCCTTAGCCATCCTATGTTTAATCTATGTAGAAATAACATGCGAGTATGATAAAAGAAAACATCAGGACCATTACTGAAGTAACTTTTAAAATATTAGCCTAGAAATGACCACCAAACGGAAAAAATTGACATTTTTTCCCGACAAATCTTCATAAAATCTGAGTTATAAACAAGTCACATCTAAGTACACTAATACAGATACGATTTTCTGAAAATTCAGGTATGATTTTTAAAGTTTCTTTCAAGTATATTTCTGCGCATTGCAGCGCCAATATTCTTCACTGCTTCAAAATCACCCTTGAATTTTTTTTTTGTAACGAATTTGATACGAGGTCCGCGAGTGTTCCCCGTTCCTTGCGTGTTGAAAGTTTGGTAATACATAGTTTGCATTGACTCGCGCACGAAAAAATGGTCGAAAACAAAATGTCAAATGAAGAAATAAACAAGCTTTTGTACAATTATAAGAGTTCTACCGAGGTTTCTTTGTCGATTTAATTTATTATATAGTCTCAATTAGAATTCAGAATTATCTCACTGAAAAGTTAAGAAACCGACGATGTTCTCGATCGTAGTTATTTTCATTTTGCCAGCAGCCGATCTAGCGATGTTTGGGCAAAAAGTGTAAATTTGTGCCGAAATATATACATGTTTATGGTGCAAGTAAAATGATAAAAATCATAAAAATCATAAAAAATAATGATGATGCTGTGACTATTCGCAGCTGATGGCTTCCTTGAACTGCTTCAATGTGGGCAGTTCAATGATATTTGTAGGAAGCTCATCCCAGTCTTTCATGGTGCGAGGAAAGAAGCTGTATTTGTAAGAATCGGAGGATGTACCAAGTCTGGTGAAACGAAGGTGATGTTGACTCCTTGTAGCTCTGTCTTTCTGTGAGATGTAATCTGGAAGAGGGATGGCTATCTGGTGGTGGAGGATCTTGTACATCATGGCTAGACGTGATTCCAGTCGTCGCTCTTGTAGAGTTGGGAGTCCGATGTTCAATCGCATAGCCGTGACGCTGTCTTCTCGGCTGTGATTCCCTGTGATGAAGCGTATCCCCCTCCTCTGAACTTTCTCAAGGCTATCTATCAGGTTTTGCCGATATGGATCCCATATAGCTGCCCCATATTCTAGTTGTGATCTGACTAGTGTTGTGTATGCCTGTTTCTTGATGGCAGATGAGCATAGGCTGAGGTTTCTTCGAATGAATCCAAGTGTTCTGTTGGCTTTGGCTGCGACTGCCTTGATGTGATGTTTCCAGCTAAGTTTTTCATGGATCTCCATCCCCAAGTAAGACTGGCTGGAAACAGCGGCGAGCACCTCATCTCCCATGGTGTAGTTAAGGATGATGGGTTTCTGCTTGCGATGAATTCTCATGCTGTAGCACTTCTTTGCATTGAATAGCATCTGCCACTTTTCAGCCCATTTGTGCAGCTTTTGAAGGTCTTTCTGTAGATCCTGGGCATCCTCATCTTTGTCGATCTTTCTGAACAGGAGGCAATCATCGGCAAAGAGCTTAATGGTTGAGCTAATGTCCTCTCCAATATCATTGATGTAAAGTAGGAACATCAGTGGCCCTAAAACTGTCCCCTGCGGCACCCCTGATTCAACATCTATGGTTTCCGATGCTGCTCCATCAACAACTACTCGTTGTGTCCGTGCAGTCAGCCAGGTCTTTATCCAGTTCTTGGTGTTGTCTCGGATGCCGTAATGATCTATTTTCCCCAGTAAGCGCTGATGTGGTACCGTGTCGAAAGCTTTGGAGAAGTCGAGTATCAGCATGTCAATCTGGTGGTGATGGTCCAGAGCCCTCGCTATTTCTTCGACTGTTATAGCAAGCTGCGACTCGGTGGAATGTTGTTTCCGAAATCCATGTTGATAATGTTGGAGTAGAGTGTGCAATTCCAGGTGATCCATGATTGAGTGGAAGATAATATGTTCCATCAGTTTAGTTGTTACACACGTCAAGGACACTGGGCGGTAATTCACTGGGAGGCTTCTATTACCCTTTTTGTAGATGGCTACAATGTTTGCTGTGAGCCCATCTTGAGGCAAGGTTCCAGTTACATAGGATTGAGTAAAGATGACCTGAAGAACGGGAGCTATCTGTTGTGCAGCTTCTCTCAGAATGCGTATTGGTACCTGGTCTGGTCCCGGAGCTTTCCCTGGGTTTAGGTTCTCCAACAGCTTTTTGATTCCATCAGTATTAAACTCGATGCATGGCATAGATGGATGTTGACTGGTGCCCTTGGTTGGGACGTGGTTAGTATCTTCCTTTGTGAATACTGACTGATACTGCTGGTTCAGTGCTGTTGCCTTCATCTTGCTGTCTGTCGCTGGTCCGTGATCTGTTTTCAAAGTTGGTATACCATTGGCGTCTTTCTTGAGGCTGCTGATGTAAGACCAAAATTTCTTTGGTTTCTCTTTCAGTGAGTTCTCTAGAATACCCTTCACATATTCTTCATGGGATTTCCTCATCTTGGCTTTTATTGCTTTCCTGATTTCTCTGAATTTATCCCAGTCTTTCTCAAGCTCTGATTTCTTAGCTTTATTCCATGCCCTCTTCTTCTTTCTGATCATTCTCTTGATGGTACTGTTTATCCAAGGTACATGCTGCCAGGAAGATAGCTTCTTTTTGGGTATGAATTTGTCCATGGCATTGAAAACTGCATTCTTCAGCTGGCTCCAATTGTCTTCAACACCCCTTGTCATAGGCTCAGATTCAAGAAATGATTCTTTGAAGTCTTCTAGTTCTTTTCTGACTCCGTTCATGTCGCCTTTGTTATAGTGATACACAGTCCTTGGCTGTTTTCGACAATACTTGACTGCTGTGTCCATCTCAACATTTACCACATCATGGTCAGATATGCCTGGAGCTGTGTCCACTTGTTTTATCTGGTCAGGTAGGGTGGTGAAACATAAATCAAGAACGTTGCCTTCCCTTGTTGGTTTGTGCTGGACTTGAGTTAGCATGTTATCCTTTGCTGTGTCTAAGAGGAGCTGGTTAAGTTCCATGCCATACTGAGGCTTCCTTTTAATCGAGTTGGTCTTCCAGTCGATATCTGGTGTGTTGAAGTCGCCTGCTAGAATTATATTAGGTAGCCTGTTCTTGGTGGTTAGCTTCTTTAGGGCTTTATCCAGTTCTTCCAGAGGCTTTGTGTCCCGATCTGTTGGTCTGTACATAGACCCGACATAGAGTGGTTGTTTTCCAGCAAAGAAGATCTTCACCCAGATCGATTCACAATCTGTTTGGAGGCTATCCTCTTCCATGCCAAGCAGGTCTTTGCGTAAGCCAATAAACACTCCTCCCCCATGTCTTTCCCTGTCTTTCCTGTAGATGTCATAGTTCCTGGGAAGATTTCACTAGTATAGTAGCTACCTTCCAGGTGACTTTCACAGCCACAGATGATATCTGGATCTTCCTGTTGAATGGCACCTAACAAGTCTCTTTGTTTTTTCTTACTTTTTAGCCCTCTACAGTTAATGGACAAAAGCTTTAATCGCCTATGTTTAGGTTTTGATTTTGGTTCAGAACCTGATGTTGTACTTCTATCTGTCACACTATCGTCTTCATCTGACGACATGCTTAAGTCGGACTGTGAGCTACTTTCATCTTCAGATAACACTGCAAATGAATTGTCGATGTCTAAAACCGAGTCATCACTACCAAATGATGTAGAAAAGTTAGGAAAGCCGCACAAGTGACATATCCATGCTGCACTGTTTTTCCCTAGTTTAACATACTCCTCAGGTGCTATGTTACCACACTTTATGTGAATCCATTGATCACAATCATCACACTGGAGAGCCCTGTGGGTCTTGGCAACTGGTTTGCTGCAGATCTTGCATGGAAACTTAACTGGACCAGGATTACTTTCTATATCCCCCCCTAAAACCAGTAATAGCACTAACGTAACTCGATATGGCCGTGGTCGTTGGCCTGGTCTCGTTGCCTTGTCAACAATGCTCCAATAGTCTAGCTTGATACCTATGCTTGGTATTGCTTGAATGAGTGTCAAGCTTGAATTGATATCTGTGTTAGTATTACAGTTATATGTAGCTGTAGATCTACCTCCATTTTGCAGGTGAATGATAACTGTCACAGCTAGAAGCGTGTACAGGATTGGTAACCATGAAGTTTTTCCCTTCATCATGCAAGTTACGACGTATTGGAAAAGACAAAGAAAATTGCTACCTTACTTTGCTGCCGGAGGATGGATGTTTACTTCTCTACTTCTTTCCACTCAATATCATGATAAATATCCACATCAACATCTGATTTCACATGCTAGAAGCCGATCTGATATGACGCGATGTTTGGCGCGATGTTTGTCACATGGGCGGCGCCATCTTGGATTCCCGTGGTAATTCCGTTGTTCCAGTGACTTGACAAAAACACATTAAAATCCTCCAAATTTACTTGAAATCCGCAAATCAGTGACTGAAAGTGATTGATAATGGAAGCTTATTTATTATATCTGATTATATTGACAAAAATCGGTCCAGAAATCTGAAGAAACTACAAATTTTAGAGAGCTAAATGCAAGCGCGTCCACCACCGTCAGTGAACACCTCATACACGTAACGCAACCGTGCGCGTCATTTTCAGCTGTCTAATGTGTAAGACCAATTTTACATGTACGATTTTTAGTACAGATACTTGGTCAGTCTTCTTCTTAAATCTTTGGTTTTACAACATTTAAAAATGTAATTTCTCCAAATCTGCTCCTGACTCGGTTCAGACTAATTTGTCTGATGTGTTTTCAAGTCAATTTTTTGAATATATTTTTTTGCATGAATTTGCCTATCTGTACAATTACCTGAGATTTTTCTGAATGTGGAAAATTATGGATAAAAATTCACATTCCCAAAAACATTTCAATATGCGAGAAGATTGGTCAACTCATCATCATCGCGTCGTTCAAATCAAAATACACGTACAGTCACTCCCATTCGCAGTCTTGGCTCACACTCTGCACAGCCACTGCAATGCCAATCAATACACTGCAACTTGTGTAACGCAGCTGGATCAAATGATCATGATTAAGCAAAAGCTTAAACTTCCCATTGCCATGGTAAATATTCAATCATTTTGCTCATGTATAATTACCTCTTTGATCGTAGAATCAGGATTTATCTCTATGGTTTCTTTGTCTTTAGGTGTCTTCACAACGACGCTGATGAGATCTTTTGTAGAGGTTCCCGAAGATTCCGTGGGCTCCGCCATGTTTCCAGATATGCGTTTTAATAACCTGACCTCTCGTGACCTAGGCTGGTAAGGCTATGGAAAGCAACTTGTGGCTCTTCGATCTTGGATTCTTTTCCTCCTAAATACTCCGAAGAAGAGTTTTGACTATTATTTATTCACTCTCTTTATGCCTCTCTCTTTCTCTTTATTACTTATCTGTTTATCTATATTTCATTTATTTAATAAGTTATTTAATCAATTGTTTATTTATTAATTTATTTATTTCTTTATCAATTTCTTTATCTTTCTCTAGACCCTATGTATTAATCAATTTCTTTCTTTCTTTTTCTTTCTTTAGTGAAATGAGAATACTGATTACTTTATGAAGGAATAATACACGTGGGCAGAGAAGACTATGATGTCGTCACTTCTCAACTTTATTTGTCGGATAAAATTGCGCTCATCGGCATTGACTTTTAGAATAATACTTTGTATATATGCCAAAGGACACCCAACCATGATAACACACTGCTCCAGAGGAAATCAGAAAATATAGAGAATTAGTAGACTGATGAAAGTTTTAAATCAAATCGTACAAAAAAAATAGAAAGTTGTGAATTTTAGCAGTTTTAAGTACTATAGTTGGCCCAGGATATCTTCAAATCCATTTAATGGGCTGAGTTAAGAATGTCTCTGTGATCAGTAGTGGCGGGCAACTTAATTTGTTCCAACACACAAAATAATTTTAATTTAATTTTTTTTTTAAAAGCCCTGATCGGGTCTAGTCGATTGGGGGGGGGGGGGGCTGAAATAGCTGAAATGTGAAATGCCGACTAAAATTTCGCAAAGTGGGGGGGGGGGGGGGGTAAAATAGATATATCTATACAAAAAAAAGCCAGCAGCCCCCCCCCCCCCCCCCACCTGTGGATCCGCGCCGGTGTAACCGCGTAGAATGTTTTTTTGTTTGTTTTGTAATATTCTTTATTGTATTCACTCAATAAATAATATTAATTCATACAAATTGTAATATATAACATATTGGAACCAATTACAGAGTACAAAATACAGTAATCTCAATTATATTGAATGAATTAATATTGTTATAACCCCCCCCCCCCCCCCCTATTATGTAACCCGCACCGATCGTCCGACTATTAGAGATCGATCGAGAGCGGACGATCGGTGCAGATTTTATCCGCGCAGAATGTCCGTGTTGGACATTCCGTGCGCGCCTCAAATGTCTGACGGACAATCCGTGCGGAAGAGGTCTCGCACCAATAGTCCGCCTGCCGCACCGAATGTCCGTACTCTAGTCCACACATTACATAGTCAATATAGTGGAGGCTGTTAGGGCTAAATAGGGGTTGTTTGGTGCAGATTATTCTAAAAGCATCAAATTTGGCCCAGAGGTAGATTATACCATAGTTTTACGATTTCTTCCGGACGCCAAGAAGGGCACCCTCTGGGTATGCCATATTGGGCAAATCCAAAATGGCCGCCATCTGAGTCAAGCGTAGTTCCAAAAGGAAAAGCGCTTGTATGATAATAGTTTATATATTTATGGGGTTTTGGGGGTCAGAGAAACTGATTTTGATGTTCCTTCATCGATTTGAGGTCTCCTAGGGTCTGCCATACCGGTCATATTGGTCAAATCCAAAATGGCCGCCATCTGATAGTTACAGGTCAAGTGTAGTTACGAAAGAAAATGGGCTAGTATGATAAAAGTTTATATATTTATGGGGTTTTCGGGGTCAGAGAATCTGATTATGATATTCTTTCATCGATTTGAGATCTCCTCGGGTCATACTGGTAATATTGGTCAAATCCAAAATGGCCGCCATCTGATAGTTACAGATCAATAGTAGTTCCAAAAGGAAAAGAGCTAAAATGATTTTTAAAAAAAATAAAATTATATAGTAAGGGGATTTTCTGGGTCGGAGAATCTGATTATGATGTTGCTTGTATCAATTGCAGGTCTCCTTGGGGCTGTCATGCATATTGGCCAAATAAAAAATGGCCGCCATCCGAGTTAAAGGTCAAGAGTAGTTTCAAAAGGAAAAGGACCAGTATGATAAAAGTTGATGAATTCATGGAGTTTCCGGGGTCGGATAATCTGATTATGATGTTTTTTTATAAATTTTATTTCACCATCCTGTCCTAAGGCTACAATTAAGTCCATTTCCTGGTTGAAGAAGATGAGGGAAGATGCGCCAAATTCACACTTGAGTGGGTTTAAATCTTGGCCTGCGCCCATAATGTTTCATCAATATGCAAACTTTCCTCTGTGAAATGCATAATAAATTCGTTTTCGAGGATTGGCAAGGAAAATAGATAAACAGTAGAAACAGACCGTGAAATGCATAATAAATTCGTTTTCGAGGATTGGCAAGGAAAATAGATAAACAGTAGAAACAGACCATGAATAAAGAAATAAACAGCTTGTTCGATTTGTTTTGAAGCATTATATTCAAAGACCCGGACAGCTTTATCTTTATTATCCATATAAATAACGTCTATAATCACTGTCAAACGGGAGATAATAACAATACGAAATGCATTAAGCAACGTCTAGACATAAAGGTCGAATCTCAACTTTAGTTTTCTCATTCTTCTTTACATTTCGAAGCGTTACATGGGATCTTAATCCTTTTTTCTACATACATCAATGCCCCCATTTAAGCATACTTTGAATCTGGTCACGCTTCGAAAAGTTCGTGGCCTAGCATTTTGCTTCTGTTGATGATCAAATAGAGAAAGCACTCTTTATAGATCAGGGAGAGTGTGAACAAAGCACGAAGTAGGAGCAGTGCAATTTAAATATCAAAGGATGGATTAGAGTTTATTTCTAAAATGAAATGAAACTGAAAGGGCTATTTTATTTTCAAGAGTTTTTTCACTTCATTTAAGAAATAACCTCTCCTCATATCTTAGAGACACTTTCTCTTGAAAGTCAAATAAACTCGAGAGCATGCTGGGGCTCCACCCTGGAACCCCCGGTAGGGGCTCTTCCAGGCCCCTAAAGCTGTGCCATATTGTACGGATCCATTAGAAAGCAATATATATATAGTTCTCCTATGCAAACTTCGTCTGTGAAATGCATAATAAATTCGTTTTCGAGGGTCGGCAATGAAAATAGATAAACAGTAGAAACAGACCATGAAGAAAGAAATAAACAGCTTGTTCGATTTGTTTTGAAGCATTATCTTTAAAAACCCGGACAGCTTTATCTTTATTGTCCTTAAAAAATAACGTCTATAATCACTCTCAGATGGAAGATAATACCAAACGAATTGCATTATGCAACGTCTAGACATAAAGGTCGAATCTCAACTTTATTTTTCTTATTCTTCTTTTAAATTTCGAAGCGTTGCATGGGATCTTAATCCTGTTTTTTCTACATACATCAATGCCCCCATTTAAGCATACTTTGAATCTGGTCTGGTCTATAATCACTCTGAGATGGAATAAAATACCAAACGAATTGCATTATGCAACGTCTAGACATAAAGGTCGAGTCCCTGGGGACTTGGATCACGATAATGCCGATAATACTTTACCGATGACCAGATTTCAAGTAAAGTTTACTATAAAGAACCAATTCCGACATTCAGAAATGATTTTCGGTGACTGATGTGTCAGATGTGATCATTCACAAAGGAAAGGCCAGCACACAAAAAAATTAAAGTTCCTCTCTCAGCTCTCTTTATGCTCATGTGACCTTTGTAAAAGTTCGTTCCCGATTTTGGCGCATGCGGAGTGTGCAATTACGAACTCGCTTATGGATAAAAGAACATCATAATCAGATTATCAGACCCCGGAAACCAATGAATTCATGAACTTTTATCATACTAGCCCATTTCCTTTCATAACTATACTTGACCTGTAACTCAGATGGCGGCCATTTTGGATTTGACCAATATGACCAGTAAGGCAGCCCCAAGGAGACCTCAAATCAATGAAAGAACATCAAAATCAGATTCTCTGACCCCCAAAACCCTATAAATATATAAACTATAATCATACAAGCGCTTTTCCTCAGTGGAACTACGCTTGACCTTTAACTCAGATGGCGGCCATTTTGGATTTGCCCAATATGGCAGTCCCAGAGAGCGCCCTTCTTGGCGTCCGGCAGAAATCGTAATAGTTATATAATATTGACTGGCCTTGAGGGGTATATCAGAAATATTGACCAAGCTCAGATCATATTGCCCCGAGTCGAAAGACGAGGGCAATATGGTCTTAGCGCGGTCAATATTTCTGATATCCCCCGAAAGTAAAGCCAGTCAATATTTTTATTGTTATCCAAATCAGACATCTAGAGCAAATACAGAAATCCACCATGACAATCTCAAGAACCGAACAAACTTTTTCAAACCAGCACTGTGCATCCAGTGCTTGAATTTGATTTCGATACACTGCAAACAGTGTGCATTTGGTGTGATTATTACGTCACAATAGATTGCGCGCAAGGTTCTCGTACGCATAATAGATGCGATATGCGAGACCGTGGAAAATACCAAGGTATATTTTCACTCGTCTCTACACGCAAAGTCAATACGCGCAGGGAGACCAAGGAAAATACAAAGAATATACCCCTCCGTTCCCACTGCTATTGAAAACTAGGGCAATACGGTTTGGTAAATGACCAGCTCAGATGTCTGATACGGGTAATAATATGGTATAATCTACCTCTGGGGCAAATTTTGTGCTTTTAGAAGAATCTGCACCAAAATATCCCTAACAGCCCCCACTAATACAAGTATAATTATACTTAATGAATGAAACGACTGGATAACCCATATTCAGCTTTGCCAGCTGGCTAGGGACCACACTACAGGTCTTCCCGGCACGGGTCCATGGGGGAGGGGAGGGGGGCGGGGCGAGAGGGTCTTGACCCCAAACCGCCAACAAAAAATGAAGAGAGAGAGAGAGAGAGGAGAGATAGAGAGAGAGTCAGATAGAGAGAGAAGGTAAAGCGGAGAGTAAGGGAAAGGAAGAAGAGGAAGAAAAAAGAAAAGGGGGAAAAGAAGGAGATCGGGGGCGAAAGGCCTTCGCCACCCCCTCCCCCCTCCCCTCAGCAAAAGAGAGATAGAGAGAGAGAGAAAGAGAGAAAGAAGGAAGGAAAAATAAGGGAAAGGGCAAGAAGAGACAAAGGGAAAGGAAGAAGAAAAGAAAAGGGGAAAGAAGGAGATCGGGGCCGCCGAAAGGGCTTTGCCTCCCAGGCTGTTGCACCCCCCCCCCCCCCCAAGCAAAAAGAAAGAGAGAAGGAAGAGAAGGGAAAGAAAAAAGGGAAAAGAGGAGATAAAGAGAAAAAAGAAAAGAAGGGGGGATATAAGTTGCAGTTTTCCCGCCAACAAGTTGGGGATCGGGGGGGGGGCAAATGGCCCTTGACCCCCCCCCCTTCTACAGCAAACTTAAAAGAGAGAGAAAGGAAGAGAAGGGAAAGGGAAAGAAAAAAAGGTACGGGAGATCAATTGTGATTTTTCCCACCAACGCGGTGTGGATCGGGGGCGAAAGGCCTTCGCCTGCCCTCCCCTGGCAAACAAAAAGAGAGAGAGAAAGAGAAGGAAGGAAAAGAAGGGAAAGGGAAAGAAGAGAGAAGAGGAAAGGAAGAAAAAAAAGGGGGGGAAAGAAGGAGATCGGGGACCGAAAGGGCCTTGCTGCCCATGCTGTTGCCTCACCCCCCCCCCCCCGCAAAACAAGAGAGAAGGAAGGAAAGGGTAAGAAACAAAAGAAGAAAAGAAAATAAGGGATATCAGTTGCAATTTTTCTGCAAACAAGATGTGGATCGCGGAGAAAGGCCTTTGTCTCAGCCCCCCTCCCCGACCACCCCACCACCTCCCCGCCAAAAAAAGAGAGAAAGAAGGGAAAGGGAAAGAGGAGAGCTAAAACGGAAAACAAAAGAGGAAGAAGAAAAGAAAAGGGTGAAAAGAAGCAGAGATCAGTTGCGATTAATCCCACCAAAATCGCGTGGATCGGGGGAGGGGGCGAAAGGCCCCTGCCTCCCTCAGCAAACTTAAATGTGAGAGAGAGAGAGAGAGAGAGAGAGAAGTAAGGGAAGGAAAGGGGGGAAAAGAGGAAGAAGAAAGGTAGGGGAGATCAGTTGCAATTTGTCCCGATTTGTACCCCCCCCCCCCTTAGCAAAGAGAGAGAGAGAAGGAAGTAAAAGAAGGGAAAGGGAAAGAAGAGAAAAGGAAGAAGAAAAGAAAAGGCAAAAAGAAGGAGATTGGGGGCCGGAAGGGCCTTGCCGCCCATGCTGTTGCCCCCCCCCCCCGCGCACAACAAGAGAGAAGGAAGGAAAGGGAAAGAAACAAAAGAAGAAAAGAAAAGAAGGAATATCAGTTGCAATTTTTCTACAAACAAGATGTGGATCGCGGAGAAAGGCCTTTGCCTCTGCCCCCTCCCCGACCACCCCACCCCCTTCCCGCCAAAAAAAAAGAGACAAAGAAGGGAAAGGAAAAGAGGAGAGCTAAAATGGAACACAAAAGAGGAAGAAGAAAAGAAAAGGGTGAAAACTGAGAAGCAGAGATCAGTTGCGATTAATCCCACCAAAATCGCGTGGATCGGGGGAGGGGGCGAAGGGCCCCTGCCACCCTTAGCAAACTTAAATGAGAGAGAGAGAGAGAGAGAGAGAGAAGTAAGGGAAGTGAAAGGGAAAGAGGAGAGAAAGGGACAGAAAACCAAGAGGAAGAAAAGAAAAGGAATTAGGGAAGATCAGTTGCGATTTTCATTGGTTCTTCTATCATCATTTTACAATTATCATTGTACAAATGTATTTATATATTCATTTATTTATTCCTGTTTGATAAACTGATAAACTCATAACAGCAACAAAATTAAATGTAGGAGGAAACTATCTTGCTGGGAGCAAGAAGCGCAAAAATGATCATGCATTTGCATGTACATGTAAGTGTATCATTAATATAATTCATATTGTTTAATTACATCTTGTGAAATAGTATGCATTCAAGCTTTAGGGATTTTTTGTTGGTGTATTTGTATAAAAGAAAGCGTTTGGAGCTAATAATGCACATGCTGCAATTTCAGGTGTAACTTAGTGTTCAAATATGGAACCGCACGGCCAGGTACTAGTGTAGGAAATCTTCAAATGTTAATCAGGTATATGACTAAATTACTTGTCTGTTGCCTTACGAAAAAGTTTATATTTAGTCAGGCCTGAATTGAGTCGCAAAACGATTATTATGTTAAAAGGAAAAAACATATTTGATGACATTCGAAATTCCCCAATAACCAAAAGTATATTAAAGAGAATTAAATAGAAAGAAATAGAAAAGAAAGTAAGCTCATGTAACCGTAATTAAATGCCCATACCCCTGAGCTAATTCCGGGGGCTCTGCCCCCTGGACCCCATCTTGGGCCCTAAGGCTGGCCCCTGGATGCTAATGTGACCTTAATTGTAATGCCTAAAACCCCTGCGCTTTCGGGGGCTCCGCCCCTTGGAGCATACGCCAATTAGTGACCTGCCAGTGTCATGAATATGGTATTAAAATATTCTCATCTGACCGTAAGTACGAAGCCACGTACAATCGATTACAACAGTAATTGTGGGGCCGATATCACGAGTATGCCTTCATAGAATAAAGGTTTTAAAGAAAATATTCACTTCTACTTTCGAAAGGACTGGCCCATTTGCTTTAAAAAAAAATGTAGAGAGTTATTATTATGCAATTTCTAGAAAAAATGCCAACCACATGATTAACAATGAGTCTAAATACAATGATTTGCCGAGTTTCTTAATTCCTTTCATCAAATATACACGTAAAACAATGGGGGGGGGGACAGACTGCGCGGATAGCAATCCGCACGTATCGTCCCTCGGACGATCCGTGCGAGCAGAAAACCCGCATATTATGTCCGACGGACAAACGAAACTGGTAGGACAAACGGCGTGGTCACACCGGCTGGTGACTGTTTGATCAAAGGAGGCCCTAGCCGCCCTAAATTATGTTATCAAAAGAGCGAGGTAATTTCTGTTTTTGTTACAATAAAAGGATTTTAAAAAATTATTAAAAAGAAAAAAGAGCGAGCTGTGCTCCTTTAATTGTAGGTAAGGCCTATACCGGTACTAATTTGATCCCGGGTTTGATCGGAGAGAGTCGGCTGAACACGTCCGGTGTAACACGGTTGACACGGAACAAGGGTCTATTATCGATTGTGCCCTTTGGCGTTCCATATATCCTAAGCAACTCGTCATCATATCATTCGACGTAAAGAAATTGTTACTAGAATATTCTCAAGCAAACTTTAGCTTTTTGATGTGGACATGTCGAGATCAAAGAAACTGTTAAGCAGACCTGAACTTCCAAGTCTTGATGAAATCATCAAAGACTTGGATTCGGCGCCGAGTGATGATGTTGCGTTTACATTCTTGCAGAATTACACAAGTGGTAGCGGAACCGGAGCTGAACTTCCCACGGGGAGCAAACAGATGATGGATGCCGTGTCGAGATCGAGAGCTTCAACAGGTCAGTGTTTGCGCCAGCATAATATAATTATAAACGATGAACCTGAACTTGAAGGAGTAGCCATAGGGCCTAAGATGTCCAAGCCCTTTTTGCTTATTTGCCATAGGGCCTATACAACCTGTGGTTTGACTTTGACTCCTAGTCTCCTAGGAACTCTGTGACAATTAGTTATATTTTTTGGTGTCATTCATTACCCCCCCCCCCCCCCAACTCCAAAAAAATTGCCAGGCTGTATTCGTATCTATATTTGTAGTTAAAGCTTGTTTAGAAATTGGTCTTTCACCCAGCTTGTTATCGTTGTTTTAAGAAAAAAATATATAAATAAGGACAATAGAAATAGAATAGATATTCTGCTACCAAAAAAAAATACTCACTTGGATATAGACCCTACATGTATCTTTCTTATTTGTAGACCCTAGATCTAGATCTAGGGTAGGGATATCGGCAAAGAGGCGGCAATGCATTTGCAGTTGTGACCTTTATGTAATGAGATGTTTTTGTGTTGTTTCCTTTTTTTGACCGACTTCACAGGTGAATCAGCAAGAATCTCGGTGGATACGTCAAAATCCTTTGAGTCGGCAGCCAAGAGACCCCGGCAAGAAAACAGCAAGCAGAAGTCTGAAGAACATCATGGACAGAGCAAGGAGGAAAGTGATATCCAAGACTGCTACCAGAAGGTTCTCGGGTTCTTGGAGATGAACTCATACCTCAGAGACTCACAGGATAAGATGACGCAACAGTGCACGGACTTACAAGAGTTAGGGCAGTCGGTAAAAGATCAGATTGACTCCCTCAGAACTCGACTCCATCCCTCGTAGTACCCACTAATCCGTCAACACAGACCCTTGTCATTCCTAATGCAGGGTACTTTGACTGAGACGATTTTCGAGTACTGCAGCTGTTCTTAGAACATATAATTGTCAAGCTGATCCCTTTGCCATCATTATGTTAAGAGTGCCAAAATAAAGTCTGCGGTCAGGAACTTGTACAGTGGAAACCCGTTATAATGAGTACATTGGAACCATGAAAACGACTTTGTTTCATGAGGTATCTTGTTATATCAGGTTGAAGAAAGAAACCATACAAAGAGCTGGCACCTTTAAGCGGGACTGCACTACTTGTATCTACTTGGCCCTCTATATATCCAACAATGCCTAAGCGGTACCCGTTGGACTCCCATGATCCCTTTTAATCTTATGTTAATTGAGAGCTTATTTGATGAGATAATCACCTGCCAGTGACCATGCAGGGAGGTCTAATCCCTCCTGGCCAAACAAGTGCAGATAGGTTTTAAAATTATCATGTTATATCAGGTATCTTATTATATCAGTGCCCTGTTTCATAGAACTTGTTCATCAAATATCAATAACAAATGCTTAATTTCTAAGAAAAATTGCCATCAGCCAACCAAATGCCCCGATCCCAGTAGCTTATTACTGTTATTGTAAATTATTGATAACAAGTTTTATGAAACAGCCATACAGGGCCCAGAGCTCTTCCACTGTACCTACCAAACTGTGATGGTGTGATCGCTGTGATGGAACACACATCCTACATGTATATGTTCAGTATAGAAAGCTCAAAGGTAATCCATCATTATCTGGGTGTATTGTAAGGCTCTAGACCAGAGAAGTGTTTCACAAAGCCTAAGATCGACTTTAAGTTGGACTTTACTATGGCAGGCTGTTCATGTGTGCTCTCACCATTATGATCTTTAGATATTTTTTTTTCCTTCAATAATGAATTGTCAAAAAATGTAGATTTGTGACCATGATTTTTACGTCCCTTGAGAGACCAATGCCAGTAAATGGTGAGAGCAAACAGTGGCATTAATGGCCTGCCATAGTTAAATCCTAATTAAAGTCGATCTTAAATCTTAATCTTTGTGAAACAACCCCAGTAATTGTAAGTGGCAATTCATAGGATGTAATGCTACTGACGTTTGTGCAATGATGTGTTTTCCCATGGTGGATGATGATGATCATTGATCAACAACCTCCAAAATTGCCATGGCAAAATTGAAAATAGAAATTATTTTCCATGTACCGTAATGATTTAAATTACATTCAAGTGGTATTGCAGTGCATGACATAGATCTCTTGATGTATGCGCTGATCTGTGTTTATAGGTTACATTTTGAAAGAGTTGCATTGATCACCTTTACTTCCATTGTATCATCACATACATGTATATTTATTTTTGATTTGATGATTTTTTTTTCTTCTCATGACAGTCACTTATCTATACAAAAAAAATCTATTATATACATGGGCAGTTTTTTTTTTTATTCTCGTGTTCCTTTTGAATTATTCCGACTGCAAATGTCATGGTTACACAACAAAAATGGACACAGGAAACAGTATTTGCCTGGATTTGGTAGATTTATGCTTTCTGGAGATGCATTTCACATGGGGGAGGGGCTCTTAAAGGGAAAATCCAACCTTAATGGACAACTGCTCTAAAAGAAAGCTGGAAAATCACAGAAGCAGACTGGTGAAAGTTATTATGAAATCGGATAAAAAATAAGAGAGTTTGAAAGTTATAATCGCTGTACGTATGGGCACTTCAACAGGCTGAATCAGTAATGCCACTGTGAGGTAGTGCTAGACAACTTTCCCATTTGTTTCAACACAATGACTAAAATGTCAATTCTTCAAAACGAATGACTCATGGGCTCTTTTCATTTTAAGAGGAGCTATCCATGATATATTTTGAGTAGTGCCTCAAGGGAGAAAGCACCAAGGAGAAAAAGAAATTGATGATATTTTTGTACATGACAAACGGAAGAGTTGTCTCCACTATGTCTGAACCCACTGATCAAATTGCCAAATTGAGATTCGCATAGATTTAATGATATCATATTTCATACATTAACTCTCTTACTTTTGGTCCAATATATTCAAGCTTTCACCAGTGTGTTTCTCCTATTTTTCTGCTTTCATGCAAATGAATTTATTACAAAACTACAACATGGGGAAAGCCCTGTTATTGAGGAAAGATTTTCTTTTAATTTTTGTAATTTAAGAAAAAATCTTCAGTATGTTGAATTTCATTTATATCTTGCTGCCAGGGTCTTTTATTTTGTACAACAGTGTTTGAAAACAACCGAAAAGGCCACATTAAGGAAGAACACATACACATATTGCTGAAAAAAGATATAGATTGATTTTGACATAACGTTTACAACCTTACATGTATTGGAGAATTAATAAAGATAACAAAACATTGATGAACATTGACCTGGATTATCGCTTCCTCATTGTAAGTACTTTAGATCAAAGTTTGAGAGAAGTGTGAAAAAGGTCAGAAAACCCCTATGAAATTGTGTATTACATTGCAAGAGTCCTGATCACTGATTTGGTAGAAGTGGGTTTTTCTTGGTTCATCTTATTAGTCAAAGACCAAGTGGAATTAATTGATAGTTTTCTTTTATATCATTGGAAGTTTCTTTTTTTTAAGACTATCAGTTGAGGTTGCATAGATCTAAGATCACAAATCTGTTTTCCCTTTTATAAAATACACTGTTCATAGGATAATGTTTCAACTGATGCAGTATTCGCCTAACTTTATATAAAAAGAAGCGCATCTTTTCCTTTCCTGTAATTCTGAAAAACGAAAAGTACATCTGCATTGTCGACGGCATACAATGCTTACATTCATTGATCAAATTGAGAGGAAGATGAAATGAAATCACAAATAATGTTCTATCCAAATTCATCTTTGAAATTTTCAAAAATGATGAGAGTTATTCCCAAAGGAGAAGTCTAGAAAGGACAGCTGAAATGATAATCCCGATCAATGCAACACTCACCGCTTTTAAAACTATTGAAGATTATTACGATATTTTATTTCACAGGTATTTGAGGCAGGCGCTAGGGGCTGCAGTTGCCCCTTATAATCTGAAAATTACCGTATTTTACGGAAGATGCACAGAACTGTTATCAAACATACATATTAACAAAATAATTATGGTAATCACTCATCACGTATTGAAATAACGTAAGTCAATTTATTTAAGATAAAACAAAGCATGCACAAAAGATATGTGTTATACATAGGTTTGTGCTGTTCAATTGTGCATATTCGGTAACTTTGTCTTAGATCCTTTAGAAATAATCCTAGATTTAGCTCATGCTGCAATGATAATTATAAACCTTTAGTGCAGTCAGGAACTCCATGACTTTTACAAGCCGATCGCCTGTCTGATTATCAAGATATTAATGATTGAAATTACAAATTTCGGAAACCGTTCGCCTAACGGTTTTCATAACACTACAGTCTATTGGGGAAAACGAGTATGGTAAAACCGGTCACTCAAAGATTTTTTACTTTTTTGAGGCACTTCTTGATCATTTTGAAGCGCGATTTTTTTTTAGGGCTTCAATATTACACCATATATCACAGACACTGGTAACATGTAGGACCGTGTATCTCATATTTAACATTGTTAAACGGTCCCTTTAACCATGTAATGTTGAAAAATAATGATGTAGGGACATTTATTACTTTATTTCTCCCCCCCCCCCCCAAAAAAAAAAAAAAAGATAAACAATAAATCAATGACAGAATCCACTCAAAGCACTTAGAGTCGTGGGAAAATGTTTGTCACATGTAATTTCAGTTTTCTCATTAAGTGATCTACAGTATGCATTTTTTTTAAAATAATTTATTGAAATAATATCGTCACAAGGCATTATGACAATTTGTTACAGATAATTAACAAACAAAAAGTAATCATAGCAGTTCATGGTCTTTTTTTTTTGTCCGCCTGTACAAAGTTTTCACATTTCCCCACATACAAATATAACCGTCTTAATATTAAATAATATTACAAATAACTTTATGAACGTCTAGTTTCATTATGAACACAGTTTTCAAAATTTTCCTCTTAGAGATGTATCACATTATATTCGATACAATTACAAATAACATTATTAAAGTCTAGTTTCATTATCTTTACAAATATGTCTTTATTGTTTAATTTTTTTAATTCATTACCAAAAATTGATACTAATTTGTTCAAACAATATTTCCGTCTTAGGACTAAATTTTGTACAATCCATGGTGGTGTGATATTCGTCTCCAATTTCTCCTCTATTACAATCATTGCAAGTACGTACATCTGTTGGTAATTCATTCGGGCGTCTGTGCCTTCAATTTTAATGAGTAAATTATGTGAACTTATTCTAAATCGGCAAATATGTTAACGTAATATTTTACTTTTTACAAAATTTAAATAATTCTCTTGTTTTATGTTTTGCTTAAACAATCTATATGTTCGCAATGTATTTTCTACTTTCCTTATATGTATTCACTGCATAAATCCATTATAAATTGAGAATCATATATTTCTCGAAGTTTAATTTCTGTTTCCTTTCCCGACTATTTCATCGTTATTTATATTTTCTAATTCGAGACAGTCATTATTTCTGTCAACATATCAATTACTTTTCTTTAAAAAATTGTAAACATTACTATATTACTACATTACTATAAAACTGCAACATGTAGTGGATTTCGCTGAAAATTCTCTATTTTCTTGAAAAGAAGAATATAACCAAAAAAATTCATCAACACTTTTCATGCGAATCCAATATTTCATTAAAATTTGTACATACATCGATACATAATCATAGTGTATTCTCCAGCTCAGCCAACACAACCAATTCACTACTCTTTTTATTTACCCCTACGATATTTCTTATCCATTGCAAATGAACACTTTTTATAACATTCCTAAAAACATTTTTGAATTCCCCTTTTCATTCTTTACCAATTTCTCAAAATTCACTACAAAAGCACCCCATACTTCTGAACCACATAAAAGGAGGGGTTTAACAAGGAAATTCAATAAACGAACAGCTATCTTAATTTCTGGAAGATGCTCCACAAATCATAAATAATCACAAAGAATATCAGGGAGTACATCATCTAGATAGGAAGATCCTTAACTGATTGTCTCATCGTCGAGCTCACGAAGTCCGGAAGCACCGTGAGGGGATTTGTAGAGAGGACAATCATCAATGACATGATCCATAGTTTGGATCTCTCCACAGGTGCAGTTTGCCAGAGTTATTAATCTATTACTAAATGAACCACATGTAGAAATAGCAAGACCTAAATATACTGCCTGCTTTACAAATATCCGACGTATGACTTGAATTGTATGGATAAAAGATAGACGTATCGTCACTCATATTAAACGCCTGTTTCTTAATTTTTATGACCCATGCTTTGACACTTTTCTTTATTTCATTTCTGACATAAATTGCTAAACCACCAGAATCATGTGTTGCTCCCGTACTATGTTTGCTGAGGATTGTTTTTACTGTTAAACCATCTATTTGCAATACTTCCATCTACTTTTTTTTATCGGATATACAATTATTATATCCTGGTTATTAAGTAGATT